ATGCACATGGTCCGGGGTTCGAACCACGGCCGCTAACGCACTCCTTTACCTCACTAAGCCAGTAATAAAAAGTTGGTAAGAATGAAATGTTGGGTATGAGGCTAGAAACCTCATCCTGTAAAATTAAACACTGCTACAGAAACTTCAAGCCACTAGCTTGAGGCCCTATGTTCCACTGGGAACGTGAAGGAAAAAATAAAAAAACCAGAACTGTTATGTTATTATATGTATCCCTAAACTAGATGGTCCTGCGTCAGAATCGAAACTTTCACAGCTTTGATTTACTGGGGAAACTTAAACTTTTGTGAAACGATTGTCAGATATATTTGGTTGTGTCCAAAGCCAAATTCAACCTAATTATGTTTAATCCATGCGTTTGAAGTACACATTCAGAGTTGTTAGTAAATGTAACTTGTAACTATAATAATTACTATTCAAACACATTTATTCTAATCAAAATTTTGTCTGTTATACAACAGTCATACTGTTTGCGTCGCTATTGAATTTGTAACAGTTTGATTAAGTTTAACGTTTTGGTCAAGGAGAGTGTATGTCAGCAGCTACGTTGGTTAACTATCCTAATGAAAGTTTTGGAGATGTGTTTTACACACACCAAACTATCATTTTATACTTTCTATTCTGGGATAAAATCAATTCACATACAACATAAGCAACATTGAATCAAAGAATACATCCACCCCTTTGACTTCTGAAGTGTAGGTCGAAGCCTATAGAGAAAAACTATGCAATATAGTTTAGTAATTTAATACAACCTGTTCCCTTGATTAGTTTGAACAAATAGAGAACAAACACATTTACAGGATAGTTTGAGCTCGTTTTATTTCGCGGATTCATGTCAACTACAAACATCCTACACAATATCAAATTATAACTTACACAACGTTGGAACATACGTTTATCACACTGACGTCAAGTTACTGATTGGGAAAGTAAAAGCTACTTAATTCCCACATGGTATAAGTAGACAAATTATTCCTTGTTAAAAAAGGTTAACTATTTACAGTGTAATTAGACGAGGAAAGAGAGGAGTAGAGTTCATGTTTGGCATAGAAACAAGGATAGAGACAAAAAACAAAATCGAAACAATAGAATGAATTTATACATAATATGATGGAAAGTTTATATCCATTCTGTTGTTTCGATTTTGTTTTTTAATTGTTTAATTTCATATTGTGTAGGATGTTTGTATTTGTTTTTACGAGTTTGACCATGGATTGATCTCAGTTAGAGAACCATCGAAGGCCAGTACTTGGAGTACTGGACAGCTGCTGTTTCATCCCAGTTTGGGAATCATCGGAAGTACGCACCCCTCTCCAGGGTTCGAACCCAGGACCTTCCGGTTACAAGGCCAGCCAGCTTGTATACCATTCAGCCACTGGGACCCGATTCAATGGCCAGCCCATGAGTTCTAGCTTCTACCACTTCATGATTTAGCGCGACCACTAAACAATGTCATTGGTGGGACACCCGTCTTCACACTTGACTGGATGGATGTCAATGGTCACGACTTCTCACTAGAACTCCAGGAAACACCGTCCTGTAGCAAGTCACCAGTGAGCATCAGACTAATTTTCAACAGTTGGTTTGTAAGGATTAGTTTTGTTTCTTACGAGTTGATCACGGATTGATAACAGTTAGATAACCATTGAAAACCACTGGAAAGCTGTTTCATCCTAGTTAGAACTCATGGGCTGGCCATTGAATCGGGTCCCAGTGGCTGAATGGTATACAGGCTGGCTGGCCTTGTAACCGGAAGGTCCTGGGTTCGAACCCTGGCGAGGGGTGTGTGCTGCTGATGATTCCCAAACTAGGATGAAACAGCTGTCCAGTACTCCTTACTAGTTTTCAGTGGTTCTCTAACTGATATCAATCCGTGGTCAAACAAATCTAATTCTTACAAACCAACTACTAAAAATGTCTGTATTTGAAAAGACTCAGCGAAATACAAGAAGCATGTCTTATCCTGCAAATACTAGTAATCAGTAGTTGAATAATTAATCAAGCATTATGGAATTTATTCATTCGTTCTTTATATTCCCACTTTTTTTTCTCTTTTTAACCCTTATTTCATGCAGTAAATTCATTTGATACACTATACTGCATAACCATGTTTAGTTTACTTATGGTTTATTAAATAAATGGTAACATTGTTCCGTTAAAAAAGCCTGAAATTGTATAAACAGGTTGTATCCGTTCATATTCTTTCCGCTGCTGTTTTTATTTTACTTCCCATCCTTATGTATTTAATCAAAAAGTTGTATTCAACAATTGTATTGTAAGTATTATATGGGAATCGCTCTTGGTTGTTTTTACTACCGCCAACGAGATGTGTATACGATGATAATTTAACAGTGTAAACACATATTGCGTATTAATACAGTATTTATTTACATCTGCATTATTGTTATTGCACTACACGAAATTTTGTAATGGTAGTATCAGTTGTTTTGTAAACAAACGTAATAGAGTTATAGTGTACTCTTTTAAGTACCTAAATTTCAGGTTTTAAGAAACCTCAGTCTATTAATATATGTGTAAAACTTAAACACTATGATATTAATTTCTTTATTTTCTATAGTTTAGTTTGTAAGGGTTAATTATGTTTTCACGAGTTGATCACGGATTGATATCAGTTAGAGAACATATTGAAAACCAGAAGGGAGTACTGGACAGCTGCTGTTTTATCCTAGTTTGGGTACCATCGGCAGTACTCCGAAACAAATCACAGTGAAACAGTATTATTGACTGGATGACAAGGTTTCTAACGTAGTTTATTTTTCAGAATTATATCAGTTGTGACTACATAGTTCTCTTTTTTGCCTTCCCATTTGTTTTAGGGGTAGTAGAATTTTCTAAATGTCCAGGTGGACAGTTGTTGAGTTATTCCTACAGCACGTTTTGCGTTATATTTTTAGTCTGTCATCTTGTTCCATCTGAGTGTATTCGTATGGAATATCGAATTATTATTATTACTAACTTTAATTCCTAGAGGAACATAAGGCTTCAGCCGCGCGTCTTTATTGCGTTCGGTTCTCTGCTAGAGTTTTTACCTGGCTCCAAGTCTGCCCACATGCCTTCATTTCCTTTTCACATGACCTCCTCCAAGTCACCCTTGCACTGATGACCAACTCGCCGCTTCCCTTTCGGGTTCCCCCCGAGTAATGGCTTGTCTAGTGATGTCACTTGATGGTTTCCTCAGCGTATGGCCAGCCAATCCATCTCCATTTCTTCCTGCCTAAATGTTTCACAATCGGTTCCTGGTTGGTTTGCTCATTGCCAGAGATCCCTGTTGCTGATCTTTTTTGACCGGCCATCTAATCTTGAGTATTGAGCGAAGACAACTGTTAATGAAGGCCTGAAGTTTGTTTGAGATGATCTTTATGGCGCGCCAAGTCTCTGATCCGTATAGTGAGTAGCACTGACTGACCTTACATTGGAGTTGGAAATCCGGATCTTATTTTTGATGCTGAGTGCTGTTGATCTCCACACAGACTTGAGAGTAATGAAAGCTTGTCTTGTTTTTCCGATTCTGGCTTTGATATTCTCGTCAGTTCCGTCGGCCTGTAGTTGAAACGATGCTTCCCAGGTAGGTGGGTAGGTCAATGAGGTTGTTTCTTTCAGGTTCCTCCCATTAATGCTGGCTGATTGTTGTCTGTTGCTCTTGCTGTTGGCCAGGATCAAAGGAATGATATGTGAAATATTTTCGATGTAGAGAATCGTCTCATACCAAATCGACCTGTATAAAATGGGTAATATAATACGTCCTCATTAAGTGTCTCATACCATAACACATAAATTGGCTATGCTCTGTAAGTGATTCAAAAAATAAATTTTTAGATGTAGACAGTTTCCGTGTTGCTGTGGCGTAAGTAAATATAAAAATAAGTGACAACAGAAACTGTTTGCTGACCAGACAAAACTTACATAGTGTTGAAAACATTCTACGAGGTTGAAGTAGTGGACATCTGTGGTCAGGTGTACCCCCACTAAGTAATTTACTGTGACGGGACAGTCCTGGGACATTTTAGTCAGGGTTGTGAAAAATGCTGATGCTTATTCAGCTAACTTCTTTTTCGTGAACTGTCTGTCTACATGAAGTCACAGTCTGTTCTGAGCTTTCAACAGAACAACTGCAATTAAAGAGATGCTATCCCATTTTTCATGAGAATTTATGATGCATCAAGTTTGAAGTTCATTGATCGATAGTCCAATCTAGCCTTTATCCTCTTCGTTACATTCGTTTCAGTCTATTCGATCGTCACATTGAAAGAAAAATAATTTACAATTATTAGTCCAGTTATGCTCCATTGAGTGAAACTAATCAAACTACCAAGAAGATGATGGAGACTTGATGATCAATCAACTTCAAGCTTAATAGAAGATTGACACAGTATACATTGGATGGAGGATTTCATCATGAGCTGACATCAGTTAGAGAACCACTGGAAAACCACCACTGGAGTACTGGACAGCTGTTTCGTCCTGGTTTGGGACTCTTCATCAGTACGCACCCACTGGGGTTCCGAGCCAGGATCTTCAGGTTACAAGGCGAGCTCTTAGATCATTGAGCCATGAATTCTAACTTCTGCCAATTCACAACATAGCGCAACCATTTCACATTGTCTTCTGCGATGAGTTACTGCCTCATCTTCATTCTCAGACAAAACTGGTTGAGCTCACGTATACTGATGTTCAGCTGAATTTAACAACTAGCATTTCGTTGATGGCTGAATAAATTTAGCTTTTCTATTGCTTCCATCTTGGCTTACTTTTTTTATATTTATGCCATGACTGTTCGACATCGTGTTACAAAAGTTCTCTAAAAAGTAAAACTTGGTTCAATTTCATATAGGGTCCTAATGACTTAAAATTAGCACAGTAGAATAAAATTACCATTTATTTAAGTAAAATTTCATTCAGTATCTTTTTCATTTCAGTTTTAATAGTGTTTATTTTCTGAAAATTTCTGATCATTTCAGAAGCCATTTGGTTTGGGTCGACCAGTTTGTGCACCAGCTTCAAGTAATAATATTACCACTACGACTACCACTCCTACTACTACCAATAATAATGCTAATCACAACGGTAATGATAGTAATCACATACAGCCTGTAAATCGACCTCAAAATAATCTAAAGCCAATACCACAAAATGAAGTGACAACAACAATTAAGAGTCGAATTAAAGCTTTAGAATCCAATTTGCCATCAAATGATGGGGTTAGTAACTTCTTTAAAAAAAATATTAATTTATTATATTATTATTAATTTTTGATAGTTCATTTGTGATGCTACAACCATGTAAAAATTTAGTTGTCATCCACATGTCCGCCTGTGTAATGTCTATGTAATGACTTACGTCAGTGGCACAGTGGTTAGGACACTCGCCAACCGTGTACATGGTCCGGGGTTCGACCCCCTGTCACCGTCGCACTCCTTTACCTCGCTAGGCCAGAAATAATGCTGGTAAAGAGGAAAGGTTGGGCATGAGGCTAGCAACCCCATCCTGTGAAATAAACACTGCTACAGAAACTTAAAGTCACTAGCTTGGAGTCCTATGTTCTACTGGGAACGTGAAGGAAAAAAAGACTTACGTTCACCGGCTTTCGATTTACTCGTTTACTTGTGAGTGATTAACACTCACTTCTTACTTCAACATCGTGTATTTTAAAGCGTACAGTTTATTGTTACTGATTGTATTATTTTACTGCTTATTTTGAAATTTTGAAATCGTTTTCCGTCGTAGTATACTCCATTAAGTTGGAATAATAGCTTAATAAGTGTGACATCAGTTATGAGCAGTTATTCAATAAATTTTTAATTGGAAAGCTTCAATGGTGAACTGATGAATTTCGAGATAATTTCCATCATGAAATTAAATTGAAGAATAATTGAAGTAGATTAAAAAAACTAGACACCTGTTTTCTTTTAGGTCAGAAATTATGATATTGCGCACTCTGGACGGTCAGATCTTGAGGTGTGCATTTTATCAAACAGATACTTTGTTGGAATACAGTAGTTGATTCTACTAGTTTGCCAATATAATGTAATATTTAAAACAGTTAGTTCCCTTTATGAATTTAGATAAATAATAATAATAATAATAATCACTTTATTCCACAACAATAACAATTTACAGCATGGAATTTTCAGCGTTTCTTTTACATATTGCAATGGTTTAGCTCTGTTTATAATTATATAAATATATAAAATGTTAAAATATTGATAGTTAATAGGAAAAAATAATAAAAAAATAAATAAAAATAAAAAACCCAACAAAATCATACCATTTCTAGGTCATAGTGAATAATAAATAAATAATATAACAAATAACACATGCATTAATATGCATCATTACATTTTATAGTTTAGTTACTGATTCAAAAGTTGTAAAAGTTCTTTTCTGATATTTGTCTCTTCACACAATACTCGTGCCAAATATGGAACGGTCGAATTTTTATATTTTGTAGTACGAGCATAAATGTTTATAAAATTTCTTCTGGTCTTACCCGAAGAGATACAAGGAAACAATTGTGAATAAAGAGGATGTTCACTATCAGATAAGATAACTTTAGCTAAGTGTTTACAAGAATTCATATGCCTATTGACAACAGTGTCATTTAGTTCAGTCAAAGGGATAGCACTGACCCTACTTACAGCCCTCAATGTTCTTCGTAGTATTATATGATCTTTCTTGAGTAGCCCAGGGAAGAATAATGGAGAACAATAAAGAATGATGGGCAAAACACATGAATTAATAAATTGTATGATAAGAGATTGAGTTATACCTGAGTGTCTCAACTTCTTTATGTAATAAGTCAGACGGAAAACTTTCTTAGAAACTATAAGAATATGAGACGACCAGCAAAGATTTGACGAGAAACTAATGCCAAGATAAGAAACACTTGACTTACTCTCAATCATGGTACCATCAATATTACAACAATCATGAGATTGAATCAATCCATGCATGTCTTTTTCACTTCTCAAGCTGAAATCAACAGTGTTACATTTAGTTGGATTTAGTTTAAGACCATTTGAGCCAGACCAATCCTTAACTTCAGCTAGGAAGCCATTCATATAGGAACAATCCGATGTGGAAACTACAGGGACAGAAACGGTCAGGTCATCAGCATACTTAATGAAGTTAACTTTGGGTGAGTTCGGAAGGTCATGCAGAAAGAAAGAGAAAAGAAATGGAGAAAGTACTGCACCTTGAGGCACACCACTTTCAGTTAGCTGGGAAGTGGAGCGCTTTCCAGCCAAAACAGTATGCTGTTTCCTATCCTTAAAATAAGAAGACAGCCATCTAGTTGCCCAGGACTCTGTTTGTGCTGAAATCATCTTTCCTAATAAAAGTGTCCTAGGAACAGAGTCGAAAGCTGCAGTATAGTCTAAGAAAGCTGTTCGAACGAACTTAGCGCCCTTATCAAGGCAGGAAACAATATTGTGGTGTAGTACAATGGCTGCATCTAATGTACTTCTTCCACACTTATAAGCAAACTGCTTAGGGTCACTAAAAGCTTTTAAAGAAGGTTTAAGAATATTCAAAAGAAGTTTCTCCATAGTTTTCAAAAAAGGAGATGTTATAGCGACTGGTCTAAACTTTATACCTGCTCCAGAAGATGATTTCTGTACAGGTACAACCTTGATTTCTTTCCAGTCAGCAGGTACCGTTTCCCTCTTAAATGATGCGTTAAAGATTTGAGTAAGAGGATGACACAAGATGTCTGCACACTTTTGGAGAAGAATGCTTGGTACACCATCTGGACCAAGGCTGTGTGTTGGATTTAATGACTTCAAACATAATAGTACATCCTTTTCTTCAAAACCCTGAAAATGACCATTTTCTTGACTAGGTACATCAGGTACAACCATATTAATTTGTTTCTTGATAAATGATTTGTTTAAAGCATTAACATCAGAATAAGCATCAACGGACATTTGTTTTTTACTTGTTAGTTTATTGAAAAGTTTCCAAATGTTTGAAGGATTTTTACATGATAAAAATTTTTCATTATATAGTCTGTTCAACCTTTCTATTTCAATTTTTATAAGGGTGTTTATTTTACGGACACCAGTATTATCACAATTCTTATACAACTTCTCTTTTTGTCTTCTAAGTTTTTTCAGTTGCAAAGAAGAGATTCTGTCAAATCTCGAAAACAGTGTTTCATAAGGACAGCAAATATCCAAACAAAACTTCAGATAATCGGTTATATTAGAGACAGTAGCATCCAACTTATCGTCAGTAAACAGTTCCCAGTTGGTATCATGCAACATGCTTCTTAATGCTAGAATGTTGTCATGGGAATATGAACGTTCATGTATCTTCTTTGTTAAATGACTAAACAATTTTCGTTGTAACTTGCCGTACACTTTCGGTAAAATACGAATAATGCAGTGGTCAGAATTTAGCAAAGGAGCTCTCCTTCGGGTTTCATATACATCACGGTCATTTATGAAAACCAGGTCTAGTGATTTGTCCAGACGTGTATTAAACTTGACTAGATTCTCATGACCAAGCGAAGTAAGAAAGCTGTGATCACATAAATTAAAATCACCACAGACTATAGACAACGAGTTTCCGAATGCAGGAGCAGCGAATTCAGTAAACTCATCTGCAAACATAACTATATTAGAAAGGCTACAATTGGGTGTTATGTAAATATTTGTTATGTATATATAAGAATATTTACTTAAGTGTTTTGGGCGACACCTGACGGTTATGCAATCTATATTGTCATTAGAATAATTGAAGCAAACGTGATTTGATGTAGACCAATTTGTGTTTATATATGTGGCTACCCCTCCTCCATATTTTTTCTTGGAACTATTTCTATCTTGGCGAAAAACTTTATATCCATTTATTGAAATTAGATTATCATCATAATGCTGGTGCAGCCAAGTCTCTTGTATTGCTAAAACGCCAGCATTTCGATAAACATTGGAATACATTAGGGATTGAAGGTAATCCATTTTGTTGGACAGGGATCTACAATTAGTGCTAACGAGTTCAGGAACAGTCATTTGATTAATTTGTGTACGTTTCAGTGCACGCTGCCAGCCACAGTGATGCTTTTTTCTCAATTTTTGTGGATGACACAACGCGGTAGGTTGTAATGATTTTAAAAATGCGCGATTATATATAATACGATTAGGACACATTATTGATAAATTAAAACAAAATTAAAAGAGCAAACCAAAGCAATTTTGCAAAATGTTGTAAGGTGGAATTTTTGGTAGCCCTATGTTCAAGCAGGCCGCCAAAGCAATAAGAAGACGTAATTTGTCTGAATCGTGTAATGTATTTGCGCAACACATTTCGAACAATCTGATCACACACGGACTTGTCATAAGAATATATATGAAATTAATAAAGAGGTAAGAGGTGACAAAATAGACAAGTTAGGTCAAGTTAAAAGGACATACTGGAGGTCAAAATAACAATGAAGACCACTAAACCAAATAGTTCATCTGCTATGGTATCAAAACAAAATATACCAAGGAAGATTTAATGTGATGACGAATTGTTTTTGAACGCATAAAGGTGGCCTGACTGCTAGGGCTTCCACAAACTTTAGGATACGCCCCAAACACGTTTTATAGATAGGTTTAAACGATCTGTTAACATCAATTTTATGTCCTGTCTCTATAATGTTTCGCAATAGAAGAGCTAGGTCTCCTGTTCTCACCGTTAATAGGTTCTGAAGATTCCATTTGTTTCTGGAGCCATTTAGGAATATGCTTACTTGCAGAGATCAATGAGTCCTCCCTACATATGTGTGTCCACAAGTACATTCAAATTGGTAAATACGGTGGGATGTGACTTCATTTTTCGCATGTTTGAAGGGCTTAGATAGATATAATGGCTTTACATTCTCTATTACTATGATATTAGCTGCATAAAAAGTCTTTTTAACAGCAGCGTTCAGCCTTTGTCTAGTTATCAAGCTGCTTTAATGCCCCATATAGGGTAGCTTGATGTACACGTCTTTCTTAGGGGCAAGTTGCAGAGTGGGTCTTGGTGTTCCAACTACTTTATATCTCCTGATGGACTTGCCTGGATAATTGTTATCAACCAGAGTTTGTGTCAACTTCCTTTCTTCTTCACCAAGTGTGTCTTCAGTGCATATTTGTTGGATTCTACTGAAGAGGCACCTTACTAAGGCCCTTTTGTAATATGTCTTTGTATCGTAAGTGGATGGTTGTCTTCATAGCCTAATTTGCCTGACAGTACCAATTAATTAAGTGCTGTATAACCTCGAGGTTCTGTTTTTTGTTTGAACCTCTGCAGAATGCTAGGCTCAAAAAGTCGACTGAGATATCCGTATGACATCTGTTTTAGTCTTTAAGAGTTATTCAGTATTCACTACTGTTGTGTGCTAAATTGGTGACCATTTTGTCACTTAAAATTGTGTTGAGTTTAAATTCTACTCGGTAATTATTTGATTAGTTGGTCTTAGCTTGATGTCTTCCCGTTGTAAATTGTCACACATATTGAGGAAATGCGAAGTATGTGATTGTGTTTATAGAATTCACCGATCATGTAAGTGTAAATAGGGTCTACAATTTCTCAAAACCTTTGTAAGTCCTATTTATTAGGCAGTCATTTAACATGAAGATGTTGCCTATTGAGTTCGAATTCGTCTCCATCTACTTCAGCCTGTGCAACTTGGTAGCGTCACTAGCCCACACACTGTAAGTGTGGCTCATAGCCCGGAACATAAAATGCCTGTTGGGAGAACTGAGTTCTAAAAAAGTCATTTTTCCTTATTGTGATGTCGTCTAAAATAGCTTGAAGTAGAGCTAAAAGTATAAGTATTGTGCGCTTTACCGCTTCATTAAACGACTCTGTGAAAAGGATTGTGTGTGCGAATTCAGTGGTAAAATGTTTACCATGTGGATGGGTTGTCTGGGTTCGATTCCCGACTGATGTACTCCTAATTGTCGCTCAGCTGGTGGTAAAACCGGAAAAGAATAAATGTTAAGCGTGAGACCAGTAACCCCACCGTGTGAAAAAAAGTGCCACCTCTACTGAAACTTGAAAAAAGTTAAAGCTTCAGGCTCTTTGTCTCACTCGAAACACAAAGGAATGGAAGGTGTTTTTTTTGGAATGAGACTGATATAAATGTAGCCTATATGTTCAGCTTGTTATATTTGTTGTACTATATACAATAACTGCATGTATGTATTCCGGATCGATAATGTAACAGTTTCCAGTAGTAATTGCTTTAGCTAATTTGTAGTTCATAATTCTTCCATTTCTGGCTCCATCTTATAATCAGAATAAGCGAAATATGCCAAAGAATAATAGTTTTGTTATACATCATTACTACTGATCTGATTATATACAGATTTGTTTACTTTTAAAGTGTATTAAAAGCCTACTAAATATAGTATTAGTTTACATGTGGTGTTATGAACTATTTGAAATAATCAATTGTGAATAAGCCTAATAAGAAATTATCTGAGGTGTTATGTGCTGAAAATTGTGCTCTTATTTTCTGTTTTCGTTTCACATATTTAATAACTTATTGGGGGCTTAAAGGCTTTCATAGAAAAGCATCACGAATCTCGCGTTTATTTCTTTGATCAAACTTGATTTTCTTAGTACGAATTGTGAATGGATTTTCCTTTGTGCCATTTTCTTCGTCAACAAGGTAGATGTCCTTGTGTACGGACATTACCTTGGTTATTTGTGGTTGTATTATCATGACTATAATTGTCTGTATCAGAAAAATGTCCGTCAGTGGTTCATTGGTTGGAATGCCCCCCTCCCTGTTAATTCACTTCTAAACCTTGTTTGGTCAGTAGTCAGCCTAGAAAGGAGGGAAGGTTGAGAGTGAGGTTACCGACGTCACTCTGTAAAATCAACACCACCGCTACTGAAACTTCAAGGTGTGAAGCTTAAACTTCTTTGTTTCACTAGAGATGCAAGCGATAAAAAATATTGTACGAAAATAAGTACTAAGGTCGTTTTCAATGTGTATTTTGCAGGTTTGAAGTAGTAGGCAAAATTTTTGTAATCTCAGATGGAAATTAGTACTTTTCTAAACGGGAAGATTACTACGATGATGGCATTTGGTGTATTCGTTTTATACTTCACTCGAGGATTAATGCTAATGCGCGGAGCTTTATCAGCTCAGATGCCTTCCTTTAAATGTATCTATTTTGAATAAATATGAACAGTACTAGATCTTTATTGATTGTGTTACTCTTTCACAAATGAAAAATAATTCAGTCATAAAGTACATTCACTGATTGGGTGTGTCATATTCTGTAATTCCATACAATGAGTAGACTCATTTGGTTGTGTTAGTGTATATTTAGTTATTGTATTATTCACTGATTGTGTTGCTGCCCAGTTTTTGTCTGTTTAGGCATTATCCCATACGTTTTGCTTCATAGATGAGTCATCTTGAATTTCCAAAATGCTTCCGCTATTATTTTCTATTTAGACGTCAAGTTACTGAATTGCTTATAAGTAGTAAGACTTCTATTGCAGCATATATACATGATTTCCCATTTTAATGCGCTGTAGTGAGTTTATTTTTTCAGACTGTTGACTACACGAGTTAAGTTAGATTCATTTCAGTGGGAAGAAACTGAAAATCTATGTAGATAAGTTTGTCACACTTAATCCACTTTTGTAAAACTGTTCAAACAAAATGCTACTCATATTTTTGTGTAGTAATCAAGGTATTCTAGTAATTCGCTGAGTTAAGCAACCTAGGTTACTACATCCATCTAAAAAAGCAGAAAAAGAGAGGGTTTACTGTATCTAGTAAGAATAAAATTCTTTACAACTCATCCAAGCTATTAGAAGCGTGAGTCATTATATCAGTGAGAGGGTATACGGTGCAGATGGCATGCCAATCAACAACATATACAGGCACTAACTAATTAGTAACTGAGAAATGTGTTTAGTGAAAGAAACGGTTCAGTTAGCCTGGAAACGTGTGATTCTCTGCTCTAAATTATACTGCTTCATTGTTACTTAACTTGAATCCGCCTAACGAGACTTAGGACCTAAACGAATTCTGAATACTAAAGTGCACCTTGCCCAGACAACCCCTCCTCTGCATATTTTAAAGACAGTGAAAATCTAGTTGGAGAGGCGAATGGACTGTATGGGAAAATATGGGAGATCGAGAGTTCGGTTACAGTGGAATAAGATCTTTTTGTCTGTATAAAGGGAGTACGTGATACTTGTGACAATTACTAGTGTATTGATTTGTCACCAGTTACGTCAGAAATAGTATCTGCTGTTATTTTCCTGAAACTTTGTGGAACGCCTGAAATATTAACTCGTGAGGAGCAGGTTATGTTTCTTTCAGGTTTTAGATGACTTTGTTACATGTTACCTTACAGTTTCTGGGACACTGTCACACTTGTTAAGAGTTAATAATTATTTGATTTTAAGCTTACTTTCGGTTCCTTGGACTGTCTTTTAGAATTGTCTTGCAGAGAGGTGTGTCTATGAGACGTGTGCAGATACCTTTTAAGCCTTGTATGGCTAAGAAATGGTGGTGGCATAAAACCTCCTGTGATAACTGTTTCAAACGAGTTTTGTCGGTATGCAGATTTGGTCGAATCCACTATTTCTGTTTTATTTTGCCACCTACATTCCGACGGCAGTTGTGAAGGATGTGTTTAGTAATGGTAGAATTGATACTCCGAAAAAGTCCATTGTACATTGGGTGTACAGGTGATATTATCTTACTATATGACTTATGATGTGACCCAGTGGAATCAGAAAGATGTAGACACTTTCGCTTGGTCACATCATTGGCCTACAGACTATCAGTATCTGTAAATATACGTATGCACTGAGCATCATCCAAGTTGAAGTAGATTTTGTAGGAGCTTGTATCTGTACTCACTTCCTCTATCCAACTATAGAAGTAGCCGGGAAGTTTGTGTACTTAGAAAGTCTTGCGAGCTCCGTGTTTTGTGACCACCACTCGTATTTTGATTAGATAATCTTACTTCACCTGATATCTTCTATCACATGGCGTCCTAAATAACCGTCTAGCCGTTCTTTTCTCTTGAATAACTCATATTATGTATTTTGAGCTTGAGGTTCTAAGATTCAGTAGCAATGATGTTTTGCTGGCCTTATGCTAAACCTTCCCTCTTTATCAGCCTTCCTACTGATTAGGCGAGGTCTAGGAGTTCATCGACCGGGGATCGGACCCTGGACCACCTTCGTGCTTGGCGGTGATTCTACCTCTGAATTACGAACGCACGATTTAAAAGTCTAAATAATTTAAAATTCTTGAGCCGTTAGTAAGGCAACATCTTCAAAAATTTTATGGGTATCACAAATGAATAAATAAAATGACTCATTTTTGGAAATGCTAAGATATAACCTTTCTATCTTGTATATTCATTACTTATGAATTATTTACAGTCGTACGTTAGATAAGATTGTAAGACACAAAGTCTACGCCTCTTATGTATATTCACTGAATACGTTTTACTGATTACAAGTATAAAAATGGTTCTACTTGAGTGCGTTTTGATCATTTACTCATCTTTACTTTTCTATCCGTTTTATAGACATCAGGTTATCGAAAAGTTGATCCACGTGCAGAAATTATGCTTGCTAGGAAACTGTCAAATTCAACATCTTTAGATGATAATGAAGATGATTCAAATCATGTGGTAATTTTTTTTGTAAATTTAATCTCGTGCATCTTATTTGTTTTTCTTTTGCTGTTAAAATAACTTACATCATACTCAGCTGTGCAGTAGATTTTGCTACATTGAATTTTCTTTTCTGTGTATGGCTGAAAATACATGCAACACAAGATGTTATTTTGTCGATGGTGACTAGCAGATGAACTCAAAATGTACATTCCGTCCTATTTGGGAATCATCAGCTAGCTGGATGTATCCGCTACCTTTCAGAGAGTGCTGATGTCTCTACTGGGACTCGAATCCAGTACCTGTCATTTCAAACACCAAAGCGTTATCCACTAGGCCACTTGTCTGTCTACGAGAGAGAACTCATGTGCAAGGGTTATCAGTTATTCCAGTGTTGGTTTGTAGGGATTTGATTGGTTTCAGGATTTCATCATGAGCTGACATTAGTTAGAGAACCATTGGAAAACCTGGGAGTACTGGACAGCTGTTTCGTCCTAGTTTGGGACTCTCCAGCAGTACGCACCCACCGGGATTCGAACCGAGGACCTTCCGGGTGAACGTATAGAGTTCGATGATTAACGGAATATGTACACGTATATCACAGAAGTAACACGTATGAAATACAGTACTTTAAGGAATTTGTTAACTTTTAGAGGTGTGGTGATATTTAAAATTCATTTCATTTTTTGATTTTCACTGTTATCATTCGCGTTTTTTTCGTCTAATTTGTTGTGTTTATTTTTTTCCATTTCAATATAATGCGATGAACAGAATTAGCTATGATAGAGAAGATTTGTAGCTCAGGTGGATGATTTTGATGTGGTTTTGTTCTCTGAGCTGGATGGTTAATTTGCGAAGCTTTCATCACCCTACTGGGTGACATCTTCAGCGCATACTTCAATTTGAAGTGAGCTTTTAGATTTCTCCACGAGTTTATTAATCATCTCTCCTGGTGACCTTGGACGTGATTGGTTGTTTGTGTGTGTTTTCACACCTTCTAGGTTACTTGTATTGGAACTGATTGTTTCTTTGACTTGAACTTTGACCCTTTGTGTGTGAAGTTTCTTTCTTATTGGTTGATAAATTTTGTCTATCTCGATGTGTCTATTGATTGATGATTCACTGGAATCGCCAAGCTTCTAAAAATTCTCTAGCATTCTTGTTATTTCCTTTGTCTAATATTTGAACGTTGTCCCAGTCGAATTGATGTCCGTGGTTGTCTGTGTGTAGTGAAATGAGGGAGTGGATATCATGTCTTTTGACGGCTAGCTTATGTTCGTGGATACGAAGACGAAGGGGACGTCCACTTTGGCCAATGTAGTGTTTTTCGCAGTTGTTACAGTTTATTTTGTAGATGATGTTGGTTTTATCTTCTTTCGCTGTTGAGTCTTTTGGTTGACATAGAATTGAGTGCAGCGACTTTGTTGGTTTGTGTACGACGTCAATTCCTAAAGGTTTGAAGAGTCTTGTAGTGATTTCTGAGATATCCTTTATATATGGTAAGGCGATTTTCTTTGTGTTTTCCTTGGTGGCTTTTGCTTTGGTAGGTTGGCTTGGGGGTATATGTCTCTTGATGAAATTCCGTGGATATCCATTCTTTTGGAAGACGTCCATGAGATACTTTTCTTCAATTTTTCTTAAGGTGGGAGTGCTGCAGTGAGTCCTTGCCCTCTTGAATAGTGTTTGTATGCAATTCCTTTTGTGTGTTATTGGGTTGTTGCTGTTGTAATTCAGTATTTGGTCTGTGTGAGTTGATTTCCTATAAACTTGAGTTTCTAATTCTCCTGTAGTTGTTCGCCTGACTAAGACGTCCAAAAATGGTATTTTGTTCTCGGATTCCTCTTCTCTTGTGAATTTGATGTCGTTGAAGACGTTGTTTATTAAGTTGTGAGTTTTATCTAATTCGTTTCTTTTGATTATTACAAATGTGTCGTCGACGTAGCGTATCCAAATCTTGGGTTTGATCTTTGGTAGAATTATGTTTTCGAGTCTTTGCATCACTGCTTCTGCAATCAAACCTGATATTGGCGATCCCATGGGTGTTCCTTTGACTTGTTCATATATTTGGCCGTTGAATTGGAAGTATGTTGTTAGGCATAGATTTATGCATTCCATCCAGCTTGTGTGTTGCATTTTTGATTGTTGTGGAAGTTGTTCGTCGTTGCTAAGTAATTGCTCCATGGTTTCTTTTGCTAGTTTTTGTCCGATAGAGGTATATAATGCTGTCACGTCGAAGGATACCATTATTTCTTGTTCATCTATTTGGATGTCTCTGATTTTCTCTAGGAATTGGATAGCAGAGTTGATGGAGTGATCGCAAGATTCCGTTAGGTGTTTTAGTTTTCTGTATAATTCTTTGGATAAATTATATGTTGGAGTTCCTGGGAGTGATACAATTGGTCGTAACGGGATATTTGCCTTGTGTATTTTGGGTCTGCCGTAGAATCGAGGTAGGACTGGTCCATTGGATTTCATTCGCCATTGGTCTTGTTTTGTGATCTGTCCAGTTTTGCTGAGCTTGTTTAAGGTCCTTTGGATGCGGTTGTCCAATGTTTGTATGGGATTTGTTGGGAGTTGTTGATATACATCTTCATCTTTGAGTAGTTCTTCAGCTTTCTTGGTGTATTCTTCTCTGTCCATGACTACTGTTGTTCTTCCTTTGTCGGCTGGTAAAATGACGATGTCCTTCCTATTTTTCAGCTTTTTGAGGGCCTTTAGTTCTTGAGCGTTGAGTTGTGTGTGTTGTCTTTTCTGTTTGACCATTGGTACAATTGTTTGGCGTATCTCTTCCTGTGTTTCCTCGTTCAAGTTTGATGATTTGAGTAATGATTCAAAGGCAGCGAAGAAATCAGTTTTTGAAGCATCTCCGGTGTTGTAGTTTAATCCTTTTTGTAGTAGTTGTTGTTCCATTTTTGATAGTGGTTGTTTTAGCCAAAAACATTATCTTTTTGCCCTCTTATGCATCAGTCTCTTAACCATTCATCTCGATTATCTTTAGGTCGCTTGAGTGCACTCAAAAACTTAGTGACCTCATCAGTCTATCAATAAGTTACTAAAGGGATACAAATTATCGGCTGAAAAGTATATACATACATACCACTAAATAGTAAAATGCTCTATATCCATGTGGTCGCTCTGGCTTCGACTTGCGGCCTACTCACTCCTAAATCTTTTGCAGGTGATAAGGTTGGCAAAATTTGAAAGAAAGAACACAAAAAGACTAACAATCCCACCCCGTAAAAATAACACTACCGCTACTAAAACTTCAAAGTTTGAATACTTGTATTTCACTCTAAAGGTAGTGAATTTATAAACATTTTAAAAAAATTTCTTTACGTTTCCACTGGTACATAGGGCTTCAAGCTAGAGGCTTGAAGTTTCTGTAACAGTGGTGATTATTTTTACAGGATGGGCTTGCTAGCCTAATGCCCGATCTTCCCTCTTTACTGACCTTACACTACCGGCTTGGCGAAGTCTAGGAATTTGTCTCCCTGGGATCGAACCCTGGACCACGTTCGCGTTTGGCGAGCGTGCTACCGTTGAAACACTGACACAAAAATGAACTGTATCACAGTCTGTCTTTTATGAAATCTAAAATTATCACTACCTCTAGATTTTATATTGTCAGTCTATTGAAGTAGAGTGAGGGTTTTATTTTATTGATATTTCACCCGTAAAATATTTCAATAGAAGCAATATTGAGTAAAGTGTTATTATATTTAATGGAGCCGGGCCGATAACTGCTACCTTGTCGTGGTGATCGGGCTTGAATACCATAATGACCCCACATGCTAAACTGACTGGGACTTCGTCCCTGCAGGTCCTACTATGTCAGGAAGGTTGTTTGGATAGCGGTTAAACTGAAAGCAGTTACCATGGGGTACATGGGCTCCAGTATCCAATCGGATCAAATGGCGTATGAACCCATATGGGTCACCGGAAACCATGGGAATGCAGCTCCTAACGCTGCTCCGCTGCCTTGCGGATTAGACTCCAAGTCAAAGGCTCAGGGGGTGGTCCCTTAATAAAACCACTTGCTTCGGTCTGGGCGCTCGGGCATTATCCCGGCCCTCACACAATAAATTGAATAAAGCAACAAACAATCAATGAAACTTATCGCGTGCTATTACACGTGTTGCAATTTCCTTCTTTCTTCCCTTCCCGATGATAGTTAACGAACACTGTTTGAACTTGTTAAGCATGACTGTTCTCCTTCCAGATGAAGTTCTTTATCCGTTCTCTACTTATATATATATATATATTCTCTTCTTTCTTTTATTTTTTTCTTTTGATCTATGTTGTTTTATTATTATTGTGTGGCGCATCCTTCTTGGTGCCATATTGTACCAAGTTTTTATGCGTTTAAATAATAAATAAATAAATATTTAATCGAGTGTTGAAAACTGTGAACTGCTTAGATGACATGTTGGCCCACTCTAACTGTACATTACTCTGTACGTGTTGGTCGGACGGGCTTATGTTTCAGCTGATTTATTCTGAAATATTGGTATTTTAAGAAAATAGGAATAATTGGAGAGTAATAAAGTGGTATTGGTTTTGTCTTCTGAAAGCTGTTCTTCTCTTCTTCGACATAGATTCACTTCATTGATTATTAAGAATTACCTTTTGTGGTTATTTAAAAAAAAAAAGAAACGCTGATCACTTCCAGTTAAACTTTATTTTATCATGATATTATTATTATTTATATAACCCGAAGGAACAAAGGCCATATATTCTTTTTTTACTTTGAGTGATTGAAAATGTGGCTACTCAACATTAGTGTAGGGCATCAGTCAAAATGTGCTACTCTGGTATACATGTATGCATAGTTTTTACATACGTATTTTTTCTGTCAACTATGCATTATTCACGATGGTTTTTAATAAGTGAAAAAGACAAAACAACTCCGCTCTTGTCATCCTTTCTTTTTTTAACTCTTATATATTCAGTATGGAGAAGGAAAGAAGAAGAAGAAGAAGACTACTTTGCGTGACTTAATTCCTGTACTCGAATGTAGAAATAACATCATGGATTTCAGCCACCCTTTGTATTCCCCACTCCCACCACCCTTCCGTTGAAATTTCAACCTTTTGGAGGTTAACAGGTGTATATGCTTGTTTTTTTTCTAAAGAAGTTTTATGCGCTTGTGTATAATCTCTTGTTCAGTTTAGCCGGTAGAGTTTGTATATTCAAACATATATGCATAATCCTTTTATGTTTGATTATCTAGTTAGGTTGACTTGTTCATCACTTGTATATAGGGAAGGTGGTCACTTTGTATATATATATATATATATATATATATATATATATATATATATAGTAATATCAGTAGTTATTTCCTCCGAAGAATAATTATTATCTGTGGTCCATCGATATTTTGAAAATAGTCTTCTCTGCTCACATAATTATAACTAACATTTAAATTAAATTAATAATCTTCATTGAGACAAAAACAAAGAATTCAGTTAAGAAAATTCTCTCTCCGACGCTTTCATTTTCAAAGCTGTACAATCAGTTATATATATATATATATATAAGATGAGTAGGTGTATTTATCATTATACTCTACTGTTTTCCCCGCTGAACAGATAAAAACAACCTGTATATTAAAATATAAATCCAAATTACACATATTATTATTCCCTTGGGTTTCGAGTAAAATAAAGGGTTTCTGCAGCACACTTCCATTTCACCTTGTTGTCTGGAGTCTTTCTTGTCGCTTGCTTTCATTTCCTCCGCGGTTTATGATCGCTTCCCTCCCACTCACGCTCAGCTCATCATTTTCAAATGAGGTTCTACTCAAGAGGTTGTCTGGCGTTTGACGTCACTTAACTGTCTCTTCAGCGTATATTCAAACCCATCTTCATTTCACTCGGTGGATTCTTGGTTGGTTTGTTGTCTGAGTTCTTTTTTTGCTTATCGTTTCTGAACATCTGATTTTCATTATTGAGAAAAGGTAGTTGTTGATGAAAGCCTCCAGTAGACTGTTGGGGGACGTTTTTTCGTGACGCGTTCTCTAAGTCTTTGGACTATAAAGAAGCATTTATGCATCATTAGTGCTGAAGGTCTCAACCTTGTTCCTTATTCTGATGGCATTAGATTTACACACTTATTTCAGAGCCATGAATATCTGTCTTGCCTTTTTGACCCTGACTCATCTTGACAATATCAGCCGTACTGCCTAATTTATTAGCCAACTCTATACCTGGAGAAATAGAAAAGGTTGGGCGTGGGCCTAGCGACCCTACCTAGCGGTAAATCAGTTCACTTGCCACTGAAACTTCAAAGCATTGAAAAAATATAGTAATAAATACTTACTTTAATTAATGTAGTCACTTTAACAGAAGACTTCTTAGTATTCCATAAGTGATTTGCGAGATGGTACAAGCGATTACAGTTACGTAACTTATTCCATCTAAAGAACATCTATATATCATCAATAAAATAAATAAATATTAATGATGAAGCCTTTTTGTACATATCCTTAAGAGATAGGTAAATTGATGACAATTCCTTGAAAAATTCTTTTGCTGATTATCTGATAAAGCAACTCTTAGCTGTTAAATAGATGTCTTAATTTCAGCTACATCATAAAATATCTTCAGCTGAAATGTTGCGTAATAATCACATCTCATGGAAGAAATTATATCGTCAAGGTAAAGAGGGATTATTTTTTAAAATATAGTTGTGTTTCCTGAGCTGGGTGACTCAACCCCAAAGCTTTCATCATACTTCTAGACACAGTAGCTTCAGCGGATTTTCTTGTGAATGAATGATATCAACTGCCTTTGCTGAAGATGTCGGTTGTAATTTATTTTCTAATTTGTACTGGTGTCGATCATTTCACTGAACTGGAGTTTACCTTTTCACCATTTCACTTATTCTTTATTAGTGGATAAGTTCAGTGTATGTGAATCATATGCGTGTGTCTGTTGAGTGAAGATTGATCTGATTACTAGGCCAGTAGAAGGTCTCTGATACCTTCTAATATTTCGGCTGTCTAAAATCTTTACATTTTCGCATAGTTGCCTACGTGCATGAATATGTAGGAATGTGTTGTATCTTTTGATGACTTGTGAAGTGGTATAACAAGGTGAACAATATTTAGCACATGTGTTACGCAAGCCTAGCCATCGCCTTCCTCTACGGGCAATGTTAGCTGACTGACATAGGATCAGGTTGGAAAAGAGCTAGTGGTGGTCAAGCCAAAACATGGCTTCATCAGTCAATGAAACCCATAACAGTTAGTTTAACTTAGCCACGTAGGAAGTTGCAGACTTTCTGGTTGGGCTCCTCGGGATGTTAAAAAAACAAGCGGCTGGAGACAATAGGTGGTATGGCTCAAAATCGATCTCAATGACAGCGGAGATGCATCCACTCTTTGTGACCTATAATACCCAATAAAACTAAATAGTTCTTCTATATTACTATTCGTTCTTCTTCATATCTCTGTGACTTATGATCTTCAATGAAACTGTTTTGTTCTTCGTTATTACTCCTCCTTTGTCTCTCACCGCTGCTTACTGTCTCTATTATGCTTTTTTTGTACTTTCTTCTCTTGCTTCGCGTGCTACACGGAATGTGGCGACTTGAACTTCCGCACATTTGTGCAAAGTTCTATGTCGAAAACAGACAGACAGACATATCTCTGTTTACTGTCTCTGTTTGGCATTTCTTTTTACATTCTTTTCTTGCTTTGTGTCCTAAGGGAAGTGTGGCGTCTTGAACTGCTGCACATGTGTGATAAGTTCTATTTTGAAACCAGTCAGTCCGTTGATGGCTTGTTGACTTTCTAGTTTCTGTTATTTTTCGTATTATGTGTATTTCTTGAGTTCATTGATTTTTTTCATTGGCTTCTTTTACAATAAAATTGCATGTTACTAAGTTACTTCTGACATGCTGGTGAATTAGTTTTACTGTCTCCAATTCCCCTGTTTTCTATATGTCAGTCAAAAACAGAACCAATCAATTGGTAGATCTGTATACCGACTGTTGTTAATTTTTGTGTAATTAAAGTATGCATATATTTTTATCATTCTAACTATTTGGTTTTTGGTTGTTTATTTTATTTTAATTGTAGGGAACATGTTATAAAAAACTAGATCCAAGATCTGAGATTTTAGCAGCTCGGGCATATAAGGAAGCTCATCAATCTATTTTCAATAATGATGAACCTGTTGTAAGTTGTCGACAATTTTTGTTCTATTGATTCTGTGCTCGAGTAATACTGTTATCAAATGAAATACTTTTTATAATTTCAATGAATCTTGTTACATATTACTTATTCAACTCCAAATGCGAGAGAAGGCTTCAAGCGTTAACCTTAAAACTTTCAGTAACCTTTGTGATGTTTTACGGGGTGCGATTTTTACTGTCACTTCGAACCTTCCCTCACTTCTGGATTCACTACCGCTGAATAATACTAATAATAATAATAAGTGAATTAAGAAGACAATTGCAGCGAAGAAAATTTTCTTTTCGACGAAGTCATCATCTAGACTGTACATTCGTGTATTTATATCAAATAGATAGGAAGGTTCCAGAATAATATCCGGTCAAATTAATAAAAATTAAAATTAGGGATTAGAATGCCATAATAAACAGGGGGATGGATAAAACGAACAAATTAGCATCATGATAGCTAAGAAGATTGACACAGTGCAGTTAGGGGTTAAAAATGTAGAAATAACAAAATAGGCAGGATGTTTGGATAAGAACTAATGTGATGAATAATTGTTTATGCAATCAGGGATTAAATGTGTAGAAATAGTAAAATGACAAAATAAACACGAAGTTCGGGTATGAAAATATGGTAGTGTAAACATGGATTAAGAAAAACTTAAAATAAAAAGAATAAACAGGAAGTTTAGATAAGAAAGGCGATGGGATGGTCATTACTAAAAAAATACCTGTTTATGATGGCCATGGCAGGGACAGGGGTTGGACGTATTTCTTTTGGATACAAAGGGTGGGTTTCAGCTTTTCAATGGCTGGTGCCTCGGCTATGCCCAGATGTCTTGATTTCACTCCCTTTGATAGGTTTGATTGAATCTTGTATATTATTTTGAAGGATTTTTCGAAAGGTGCTGAGTGTCCTCAATTGACCAGATGTTCTGTCACTGAACTGTATACACGCTTTTGGTCTCCTTTTACTAACCAGGCTGGGTTGTGTTCACGAGCGCGTTTTTCAAGTTGGCGCATGGCACGGCCAACGTACTCAGCTCCATGGAGCCGTCTTCTTAATAACTCCTATGAACCAATAAGTGAATTAAAAATGTTGCGAAATATTTACATGCGAAAAACTGTGTAGGAATATTTTCATATATGGCTCCACGTTTGATTTGAGTCATATATTATAACATTGAAGTAGTAGGAAAGAGATGGATAAAATCGAAACCAGATCTCGTGATGCGTCAAGGTAACCGACCAACAGTCCTTAAAGACTCTTTAGCTGTTACAAAATTGATCACAAACTGACTCCAGTTAGAGAAGTATCAGATACAAAGGCAGCTGGACAACTGCTCCGTCCTTGTTATGGACTCTTCATCAGTACGCATCCAGTGACCCTACCAGGGATCAAACTATGGAATTCGAGGTTACAAGGCGAGCTCATCGACCATTCAACCACCAGGATGTAATCCAACTGCCTATGAATTCTAAATTCTGCTAATACATATCGCAACCGCTAGCCGGTCTTATCAGTGAATATTTGTCCTCACGCCCTCACTGACAATGACATCGTGTTAGCAGTTTTATAAATCTGTTATTTTCTTCGTATGCCTTTACACCAACTGTGTTTTCAGTTGAATAAAGTCTCAAGCGCTGTTATTGTACTCACTGCGTGCTAATCATTTTCGAGAAGATTATATGAAATCGACTGAGTGTAGTGTATTGATTCAGTTTGAAACATTGAATCGACACAACCATGCGGATGACAGAACTGAATGACGATAATATTATTCGGTGGATAGTGGCTAGGAGTGGAATCCAGCATGTGAATTTCGTCCTAACTGGAACTTGTCAGCTAGCTCAATGTACCTAAAATCTGCAGTGATTGGTGGTGTTCGCACTGCGACTCAAATTCATCACCCATCGTTTCAAATATCAAAGCATTATTCACTAGGCGACGAAAGTCAACTCTTGTGTAACGGGTATTAGAGACCGAACGTTTCCTTTCAATATAATGAATCGATGGGAGATACAGAATTAACTTTAAACAAACGAAGTCGATTAATAGATGTGTGAAACTTGGCATTGTGGTAGTATGTAATTCCATATTAATTTGTTTATTAGATATATCACACAGTAAAACACTATTATTTACTGGATGACAAGGTTTTGAACACAATTTATTGCTGTTCATAATCATATCAATTATAACCACACAACTTCAAAAGTTTAATTTTATAGTTTTCCTTATTCTTTCTTATTCGTCGTAGGGGTAGTAGAAGTTTCTATATATCTGGGGGAATTGTCGAATCATTCCTATTGCATGTATTTCTAGTTGATTTTTATTATTAAAGCTTCAGTTATCAATCTCTCCTTCGTCCTGTCACATTGGATTTTAAAAGTGTCATCTTATCCCGTCCATCTCATTGTATGGTTGTGTTTAATTGCATGTAGTGAAATATCCTCCAGATTTCTAATCTTATAAGGGTCATCCAGTAAATAATATTGTTTCACTGTGTGATATATCTAATAAATAGATTAACATGGAGCGATGTCGATGTTAATACCATTATTATTGCCAATCATCATAAATATCCCGTCTAATTCTTATCAACTTGAAGGGAAACGACGTAGATTGACATAAGTCATAAAAGCTTCATACATACAATATTCAAAATAAGTGACAAAATGTTTAAGTTGAATTTGTATTTCCCGTTGAATGATTATATTGAACTAAAGTGTTGACATATCGGTTCCTGATACGGACTTTACGTCAATATCATAGGCTTTACATGATGAGGGGTTTGAGTCTCACTGGGGGGGGGGGGGGGGTTGGGTGCAGATACATATAGCTGTCGATTTCCAAATACGACGATTATATGCGCATCTTGGACTCTATTCACCAAATAACGTAAGTATGCGAAAGTACGCACATAACAGATTTTCACTTTTTCATTCCCTATTTCACTAAATTTCTTCGTGTTAATCTTGAATTAAATAACTGAACAATTCCAGTTTTGCAGTAACTGTGCTGTTTTTCTTACCCCAAAAAACCAAAACAACATAGGGTACTAATTATAAACGACCAGATGTTGAAGCTGAAATTCGTGCTGCCCGATCAAATGGTATAAATAATTCAAATAAATGGGAAACACCATTAACTGTTGATACTAAGAAGGTAATATGTCTGATATTTTCATACATAAATGTTATACTGTATTTGTGTATATATATTTTTTCCTTCACGTTCCCAGTGGAACATAGGGCCTCAAGCTAGTGGCTTGAAGTTTCTGTAGCAGTGTTTAATTTTACAGGATGAGGTTGCTAGCCTCATGCCCAACCTTTCCTCTTTACCAGAATTATTTCTGGTTTAGCGAAGTAAAGGAGTGCGTCAGTGGCCGGGGATCGAATCCCGGACCATGTGTATGGTCGGCAAGCGTCCTAACCGCTGTGACACCGACGCACATTTGTGCATATTGAACTATAACAATTAATTATCTGTTAAGATTTGATCATGAAACATCTTCATAGTTTCTGTACAGTGATTTGAAATGTATAACGAAGGTACAGGTGTTCAGAGGGATGAGAATCACTCTAATAACTGTATAATAGTGATTCTGTATGTGTAGATGATTGTGTGGTGAGAGCTGTCTGCCCGCCAAATTTGTAGACAACAATTGACATCAATGTTTACGTCCCGAATCGCGGTCATGAGAAAAAAGCACAATAAAAAGCTTAACCATAAGAAACTCACCAACCAATCACAACAGACTTAACGTGTGCAAATACGATTCGCAGATATATGGCCTAATTTTCTAAGAAACGGTCACAAAGAGATGACAGAATAACCTTCAGCAAGAAAACAATCAGTCAGAAGAGGCTGCTTCTCTGATAACAATAACGAATAATAATGTACATAAAAATGTATAAATATTTGTTGCTTGGCCCTTGTCTTCTATCGTCACAATGGTAGTCAGTTAAAGAGCTTGACTACAAAAGAAACTCTTGGTAAAGAAATAAAATTTAATGAAAGTGTAAGTGTATCACTCAATTATTGGAATTTTCGGAGGAATGAGTTTGAGAGAAAATATCCATAGCACAGCAGGGGTTTCTCTTTCACTTGTATGACTGTGTATTATTGTTATGACTATAGACAACATGAATAAGGATATCAGAGTCGGCCGGTTCGCGGGAAAGCAAAGCAGACGTTCACTACTCTGAAGTCAGTGTATGGAGGAGGTCTAGAGCTCCTTATCACAAGGAACAACATCGTAGTTTTCAACACATCCTAGTAGTATGTACAGTTACGACCTTCTATTTGCACTAATGCATGTTGACAATTAAGTAGAAGAAATCAGAATTTCTGAAATAGATAACAGTGCCACACTTAGTGAAGATTTTTTCAACTGAATCAATATCCTTTTAGGCATAATGAAAACAAGCTAATTTGTGTTCATTGTAGTCGTTCAGTCCTTATTATAGTCCCGATAATCAAACAAACAGACGGAAAGAAGAAACATTAGTCCTTTTGTTTTTAATTGTGAATAGATAGTAAGTTTTATGCAAAACATAAAACTTGTATTATTTATTTTGTTGTACACTTTATCTAATTAGTGTTATCATAAAGTTGAGTTTTTTTTTGTGTTTTGGCTTTTACCCCTTGAAACTTAGAGCCATTACATAAATTGTTCATCACAAATATTTATTCTCATGGCTTGTTTTATAATTAAATTGCTTAAGAAAATGTACTGTGCTGTCCTGTCCCGATATTGATAACTGGATTTCATCTGTCAACCAATTGTATGTGTACTCGACTTAGATTGGATTTAAACTTCGCTTCATGGGTTATTGACCAAAGGGCATGTGTACTGCTCAGCAGTCCACTCTGTCGTCCTTTATGGCTTTGAGACCCGGTCATTTAGAGTGGACACGAAAAGGCTAGCTGTCTTTGATTATGGGTGCCTACGTTCTATCTCCCGTGTTAAGTGGTGTAATAGGGTCAAGAATGTTGAGATTAGGCATTGGTCGAGTGCTAGGTAAGTAGGGAAAATCAATAGACGAGGCTGCGAAGTTACATCGACTGAGATGGTAAGGATATGTTACGTATGCCTAGCCATCGCCTTACTCGACGGTCAAAGTTAGCTGACTGACATAGGGTCAGGTTGGAAAAGAGTTAGCTAGTGTTGGTCAAACCAAAACGTGGTTTCATCAGTCAATGAAATCCACAACAATTAGTTTAATTCGGCCAAGTAAAGGGGTTGTAGACTGCCTGGCTGGTTGGGGTTCTCGCGACGGTAAAAACCAATGACTTGAGACAATTGGTGATATGGCTCAAAATGGTTCTCAATGACAGTTTAGACTTATAATACCTAATAAAACTATATCGCATGCCAAACATTCGTAGATTGCGGCTCAAGGTGTTTGGAAGACTCTGCATTTCGTCAGACGATATAGTCCTTCTAGGCGAAGACGCTGACGAAATGCAGAGTCTTCTAAACACCTTGAGCCGCAATCTACGAATGTTTGGCATGCGATTCGCTCCCGCCAAATGCAAGATGATGTTACAGGACTGGACTACATCGACGCCTAGTTTAAAAATAGGAAGTGAAGTGGTAGAGCACGTTGACCGCTTCACTTATTTGGGAAGTACCATCAGCCAGTGCCAACGGGCTGATCTCCGACGAAATCTCAGCACGAATACAAGGGGCTCGTTTCGCATTTGTTAGTTTACGCCGACTCTGGCGTAGACGAGATGTTCGACTATCGACCAAAGGGCGGGTGTACTGCTCATCAGTCCGCTCCGCCCTCCTTTATGGCTGTGAGTGAGACGTGGCCACTGAGAGTGGAAGACATGAAAAGACTAGCTGTCTTTGATCATAGGTGCCTGCGTTCTATTCCCGTGTAAAGTGGCATAATAAGGTGAGCAACATGGAGGTTAGGCGTAGAGTTCTAGGTAAACAGGGGAAATCAATCGACGAAGTCGTGAAGCTACAAAGACTGAGATGGTTAGGACATGTGTTACGTATGCCAAGCCATCGCCTCCCTCGACGAGCTATGTTAGCGGATATAGGGTCAGGCTGGAAAAAAGCTAGCGGCGGTCAAACAAAAACTTGGCATCAGTCAATGAAATCCACAACAGTTGGTCTAAGCCACGTAGAAAGGTGTGGACTTACAGGCTGGGGTCCTCGGGACGGTAAAAATCTATGGTTGGAAACAATTGGTGACATGGCTCAAAACCGTTCTCAGTGGCGCAGATGCATCCACTCCCTGTGACTTATGATCTTCAATGAAACTGTTTTGTTCTTCGTTATTACTCCTCCTTTGTCTCACACCGCTGCTTACTGTCTCTATTATGCTTTCTTGTACTTTCTTCTCTTGCTTCGCGTGCTACACGGAATGTGGCGACTTGAACTTCCGCACATTTGTGCAAAGTTCTATGTCGAAAACAAACAAAAAAACAATTCTTTTTGCGTTATATATCTCTGTTTACTATCTCTATTTTTAATTTCTTTTTACTTTCTTCTGTTCGTTTGTATGCTACATGGAGGGAGTGTGGCGACTTGAACTGCAGCACATTTGTGCAAAGTTCTGTGTTGAAACCAGTCATTCCTACTGAGAGACCAGATAGAGAGTACCATACGTTCATACACTCACATTATAAAGTCGTACTCATAACTCAATACATAAACTTTGCCCAGATTTCTGAATTGTTCTATTGAGTGTACTATCATTGTGTGTATGTGTTTCAAAAATTGTATCGTTTGAATGTTTCGCTTAAAAACACAGACTTAATATCGTTTCATAATATGTCATGAGCTCAGAATTATGCTGTGTAGTCAGTGGAGCTGTAGTCAGAAGTTAAGACTATCCTATCCACTCAAAAGATCCATCTTCTTAGTTTTATAGTCTATTATTGGCCATTATTCATGTCAACAGTAGAAAACGTGGTCGAATATCAGAATGATATCTCGAAAATTGTACTAAATATTAATGTAAACAATATCCCTGACAGGTCTCTATCTATATTAAGTAACTGTTCAGTTTACTGCTTACTGTAACAGGTCATATGTAAGTACATGGAACTCACTCATCTTAGCGTATAACAGTAGTTGTATATTTATTGGTTATTTTTTCTCCTCAGTTAATTCTTTTCAAACTTGATCACGGATGGATATCAGTTAGAGAAGCATTGCAAACCAGGGAAGAACTGAACAGGTTACGAGGGGTGACCTCGTTAAGCATTCAGCAATTGGGACTGTGGAGGTGGCTTGGGAAATTACGAGTTGACAGACGCTAGAATTCATAAGCTACTGGATTCCATCCCAATGGATGAGTGGTCTATGTGCTCTCCAAACTACTCGGTTTTCAATGGTTCTCTAACTGATATTATTCCGTGACCATACTTAAAACCAATCGAATCACTAAGAAGTAACGCTTGAAGTGTTTTCAGTTTATTTTGTAGCTAATCACTCCTCGCGTCAGTGGCATAGCGGTTAGGACGCTCGCCGACCATGCACATGGTCCGGGGTTCGATCCACGGCCGACGAACTCCTTTACCTCGCTAAACCAGAAATACTGCTGGTAAAGAGGAAAGGATGGGCATGAGGCTAGCAACCCCATCCTGTAAAATTAAATACTGCTACAGAAACTTCAAACCACTAGCTTGAAGCCCTATGTTCTACTGGGGAACGTGAAGGAAAAAAAAATCACTCCTCACATTCAAGTATACTAGTTCTTTAGGAGTTAATGCGACTTAGCCAGCTTTATGGAATACATATTCACTAAAATGAAATTAATTCTGAGTCAATGAGCAACGTTGGAATTCATCAACAACTACTGGTCAAATATCGACCTGCAGGGCCATCCAGTAACTGCTCTACGTTGATTAGCAGAATCACTACACATTACTTGTTTGCCTTTTGATCGTTAGATACATTTTTTTGAAAAAATTTAGAAATCATTACTATTTTCCATGCATATAAGTACCTGATTGTTTCTTAATTTACTACCCCACGCTTAAATATTACTTATGTTACCTGCTTTTAGTCGGATGTTGTTAATGGCTCATCCAGTCAAAATTCTGTTGGTTCATCAAAGAACAATTTCAGTCAGTCATCAATACAAAAAGAACAGGAGAAACAACAACAACAACAGCAACAGCCGTTGTCATCACCTCCCCTCTCATTATCTCCCATAGTTCATATATCAAATAATCAATTACACTGTAACAGTATCCAACACACAAATAACCATAATGACAGTAATAATAATAATAACACTAATAACTATAGTCATCATAATCAAGTTCAACCTCAGGATTCATCTACAAAGTATGTGTCACCATCTTCACCTTCAGCACCAACGAGTACAGTACAACAAACGACAAAAGAGAATCTTGGTTTTAAAGCGCTTTGCTTGTATGATTATGTGGCCAGTAAGTTTATCATTCCTTTTTACATTTTCATATTGTGTGACACCAATGTTCAATGTGTTATTCGTCTTAAATATGGGTAGTAATACACAGTTTTGTGAGAAATTATTACACAGAATGATTTCTACTCCCTTACATAATGTTATCTAACAATAATAATAAAGCTTTATATCAGACAATATGCGAACACTATTATTTATTATTACTTCGTTTAATTCCTAGAGGAACATATGGCTTCGGCAGCACATCTCCGTTGCGTTCGGTCCTCTGATAGAGTTTTCACCTGGCTCCAAGTCTGCCCACATGCTTTCATTTCCTCTGCACATGACCTCCTCCAAGTCACCCTTGGACGACCAACTCGCCCCTTCCCTTTAGGGTTCCACTTCAGCGATGGGTTGGTTTTCTCAGAGTGTGGCCAATCCGTCTCCATTTCTTCCTGCCTATTTTTCGCACAATCGGTTCCTGCTGGGTTGGTTCGCTCTCAGAGATCCCTAATGCTGATCTTTTCTGGCCATCTGATCTTGAGTATTGAGCGAAGACAATTGTTAATGAAGGTCTATAGTTTGTTTGAGATGTTCTTTATGACGTGCTGGCCAAGTCTCTGATCCGTATAGCAGCACTGACTTCACATTGGAGTTGAAAATCCGGATCCTATTTTGATGCAGAGTACTGTTGACCTCCATATAGACTTGATAGTAATAAAAGCTTGTCTTGCTTTCCCAATCCTCGCTTTGATATCCTCGTCAGTTCCGTCTGTAGCTGAAAGGATGCTTCCCAAGTATGTAAAGGAGGTTGTTTCTTTCAGGTTCATCCCATTTATGCTGATTGTTGTCTGTTGTTGTTGTTGCTGTTGGCCAGGAATCTTCATCACTTCTTTTTTCTCTATGTTCACCTGAAGTCCTATCTTCTCTGGATGCTTCTTCTGCCAACTTGTTGCTTTTCACTTGCATATCTTCCAGTTTGTGTCTTATTTTTGTACCATATGCGAACATATGGTACAGAAATTTTCAGCGTATTTAATTCCAAAATACAGTTTTCCTCATACAGAATTTACATGTTAAGTAATAATCTGAAGTAAATCTTCATTTCACTGAAGAATTTCACATCGTTTACTTGGAAGCAAGTTAAAATCAGCTCGCAAGTTCATCCATAGGTCATTTGATACAACCGGACGATTAAAACAATGATAAATCTAGATGAAACTAAACATTTTGGTGGAAAGCAGTCTCAGTAACCTAGTGATTCAAGCAGGCCGCACAATCCACTGACCGATGCTTGAAATGTTTTCATTTTCGAACGTATAAAATCTTTTCGCTATGGAGTGGCGGTCCTTCCAGACAATATCTTCAGTGGAAGCTTTAATTCATTTGTAAAAAACAAAATAATTGACCAAAGAATATCCTTCTCGATAATTTCCTCTTCTGACTCTACAATTATATATGAATGTTTATATACATAGAATATTCTAGAATAGTAGTCAGTAATGACTACTCCTGTGGAGCCAGTTACATAGGCCGCACAATTAAGCGTGTTTCTCGTAGAATTTCCGAACATCACCCCACGTGGTTAAGTGAAGGACAAAGAAAATGTATTTGTAGCCCTATTCTATCTCATCTTGTGGATGCAGAACACAAGATTGGTGTCAATCAGACTTTCAAAGTCATTTACCGGATACCAACAAATCTTAATTTCCCCTTAAGAGTTGCTGAGGCCGTTGAGATCCACACTAAGAAGCCTTATTTATGTGTCCAAAAGAAGCTAGTTCAGATACTGTTCTTACCTTGACCATCTGGGTTTGAATAATCCCCAATTTTTTGTAGAAATTTCTTTAATTTTAGTTGATATTCTATTTTTATAATGATTGAAGCATCTTTAATGAACTCTAATTGCATTGATCTTACTTTACAAATCGATGTTATTTCCGAAACACTAATATTGTTATTAACTACTGATCTAGAATATTCTGTGTATATAAACATGCATATATAATTGCAGAACCAGAAGAGGAATTTATCGGAAAGGATATTCTTTGCTCAATTATTTTGTTTTCTATAGATGTCTGAATGAATATTTTCGCTATATTCAAGTGATTGTGCTGGTGGTTTGTGTGTTATATTTATTCCGAATACTTTTAGGATTCTAGGCGTTATTTCAGAAATATTCTTGATCTGTGGTTGGATGAATTTTCATGTGGTTTTGAGGAGGATAGTTTCTTGCTGGTAGTTTGATTTGAGTATAAAGGTTTTGTAGTAGTATGCATTATTCTTGAAGATAGTTGATAGATACTTCGCATCTATTTTATGGAGGACTGGAATACTTTATTTTGTTTTAGTTCATTTGAACAATGTACATAGTTTCCCTTGTTTGCTATTAGATTATTACTGTGGTAGATGAGTATTTATTCAGTCTGTGTGAGTTGATTTCCTGCATTCCTGTGTTTTGTATTACTAACTGAGACATCTAGGAAAGAATTTGGTTTTGTGGTTCTTCTTCTCTTGTGAATTTAATACCTTCAAATATGCTTTTGGGTAATGTGTACTAAACTTCTGATTTGTGCGCATAGGTCTTTTTATAAATACTCCTGTAGAAATCACACCAACTATGCGAATTCTTTACTTGCAGTAAAGACGATAACCAACTTTACTGTTTTTCTGGGATGTTTGGGTCAGATATGATTCCTGACAATCACTTCGAACTATCTGCATGTTGTTTGTAAACTCTATCTTTATAATTCACAGCACATTATTCCTTTGATTCTTGACAATGACAGATGCATTTTCTAAATGTGGAATATAGGTAGTGAATCATTCGTAATACCACTCTTGTTTTACTTGGATTATCCCTGTGTGTAACTGTTTATCCTACAAACATCTTTTATTCCCCGTAGGTTGGGGGGGGGGTTCAATCTTAGATTGTCCGTTAACCAGGTAGGCTAACAGAGTTCAATTTTCAGCCAACACACTCGTAAACCTCGTTTTATCTGTCACGCAACTCCTTACTTCACAATGTGGGCAGATAGGAATTAACATCCGCCCACACACACATCAAACATATTTTCACGAACTTCTACAATACTTGTTGTATGAATGACTGACTCGCTCTCTAACATACACTTCTTACATAATAGATTGATGGGAAATAACAGTATTACTCTTGATGATAGTGTATATCTCATTAAACGTCATGTTGTACATTTTGAAGTGACACTGATTTCTGTATATCTCTAATTTCATAACTAGTAAGACCTAACAAGGATAGTTGATTTATTTTTGTGCTAAGAATACTTAAAACATTCTAGACATTTGGAAGAAGTAATGATAATTCATTTCTAATACTGCATGTGTGTCGGTGGCACAGCGGTTAGGACTCTCGCTGACCATGCATATAGCCCGAGGTTCGATCGTCTGCCGACGCACACCTGATATCAATGGTTGGCCTGCAGAATTCGAGCTACCGTTATCACATGCTGAAAATTCCATACTTGTACCAAAAATACGGGGTGGAATCAGGCTATAATAAGAAAAATGAACTTGGCGTTGTTTCGATAATTTAAGGAATTTCCCTTGTCAGTAGTACATAGTTTCATACAATTATGCTTCCTTTCTTGATCACGATTCATGGTATCAAGCAGATCGCAAATATATTCTGATCTGCATTATTTTGATCTCCATAGGAAACTGTTGTGAAATTTCGCCTGCGAATTTGATTTATAAAATTACCGGTTCTCCCAATTAGCCATCCAGAAATCGGTTGGTTCGAACTAATTCCGTTGTTTGAGCTGCGTAAAACAGGATACGTTGCCGGCGGATGAGCTGAGTCCCAAACGAGTTAAACACCTACCCGGTGTTTTGATCACTTCGATAATCTGACTGGTTATCAAGCACTACTTTAATCTGTATGAATGATATGAAACTACTCATTTCAATCTATCAGTAGTAGATAGTATTTCCAAAAAATTATTGTGTTCATTTTATTTTCATTGTTTTATATTTCTTCTCTCTCTCTCACAGATGAAGACGATGAATTATCCTTTCGTTATGGGGATGAATTATATCGAATTGAACAAATTGATGAAGGTTGGTGGCTTGGTCAAAATGCTTATGGACAAATAGGATTATTTCCTTCTAATTATGTAAAGTTAGTGGCAATCACAGAAAATTAAAAGTATATAAAGGTGAAACATTGAAGAAAACTACACACTCGTGTTTTCTTTCTTTAACAATGCAATATCAATGCACTTTTTGTGCACACTATTGTTTTTTTTTTTTTTATTCTTTGTTTTTTGGCGGAACATACGGCGGCTCTCCGCATTCACACTTCATATCAAAACTGTGTAGTTGTTTTGAAGGCGGCAGAATTTCTTTTCTTTTTCACGTGTATTGCTACTACAACTACTGCGAATGCTAATGCCACCACCACTATATTACTTTTATCTTCCTCATATAAGAATCTTAAATATGAACAATGGAGATGTGGTGGGCTTACAAGCAAGTGAGCATACCCACTAACACACACAATAACTCGTACAATGCATGCGTACACTACTCTATTGTCATACACACTCATCTATACATCAAAATGATCTCTGGTATTTTATCCTTCTTTTTTCATTTGATGAGTTCTTAATGAAATTAAAAGAAAAAGTTTAAACCAAAAACGCTTTTTTTATATTTCACCGTTTTTTTTCTACTGACCAGTATACAATGCTGTCTCTGGGCATATCCGAGCTGTGAAGACTTTGAGTTCTCTTTTCTTACGAATACTTTCTTTTTTTGCTAACTTGAAATAATATTATAATGACATTATTATTATTATTGATATTATTAATATAGTTATTATTGTTATTACTTACTCATTACTACTTTTAACAATTTGTATACTCCTTTTTCTACTTAGCTTTTTATATATACATATTATGTTAGGTAATTCTCTTTTTTTGGATTCACGCACCCTTCACCTTATCCGGGATATCATCTAGAAACGTTTATACATTCATATTACACTGCTCTGCTCTGCTCTTATCCATTTCTTTCTTTTTTTATGCCATCTTCTTTATTTATTGTTACTAATATTATTTAACCTTTCTTTTAGTAATTGACTGACAGAAGAACTGACTGATTAGGTTTAAAATTGTTGACAATGGTTTGTTTTTGTCTCTTCATGACACAAGTAACTGCCCAGAACGTATAATCTCATTTCTGGTAATAATAATAATAATTATTATTATTGTTATTGTTATTATTACTTTCATCATCATCCTGCTTTCTGAATCAAAATAAAGAAGTGAATACTATTTGTCAGTGTTCTATATTTGCAGTCATTTGGGGTCGCGTTATTCGAGGTGGTTATAATTATTTGTTTATTCCTTTATGTTCCCAGTGGAGTATAGTTTAGGCGTCGAGTTCTAGGTAAGCAGGGGAAATCAATAGACGAGGTTATGAAGTTACATCGACTGAGGTGGTTAGGACATGTGTTACATATGCCTAGTCATCGCCTTCCCCGACGGGCAATGTTAGCTGATATATGGTCAGGCTGGAAAAGAGCTAACGGCGGTCAAAGAAAAACATGGAACCAGTCAATGAAATCTACAACAGTTAGTCTAAGCCACGTAGGAAGGTGTAGATTTCCTGACTGGTTGAGGTCCTCGGGACGGTAAAAACCAATGGTTGGAAACATGGTTCAAAATCGTTCTCAATGGCTGGCGCAGATGCATCCACTCCTTGTGGCTTACGATTTCCAATGAAACTGTTTTTTTCTTCGTTACTACTATTCCTTTGTCTCACACCTCTGTTTACTGTCTGTATTATGCATTTCTTTTTACTTTCTACTCTTGGTTTGTGTGCTACATGGAGTGTGGCGACTTGAACTGCCGCGCATATGTGCAAAGTTCTATGTCGAAAACAGACAGACAGGGTTTCAAACTAGAGGTTTGAAGTTTCTGCAGCAGTGTTGTTTATTTTGACGGGATGGGGTTGCTAGCCTCATGCCCAACCTTCCCTCTTTACCAGTCTTACTGCTGGCTTGGCGAGGTAAAGGAGTGCGTCGGTCGGGGATCGAACCACCTGCGTGGTTGGTGAGCATCTGACCGCTGTGCGACTGACGCACAGGTAGTTATTATCATCGTTTATAATTTGCTTGTTGGATTCTGAGTGGAACATACGACTTCAACAGCACATTTCCATTCCAACAGGTTCTCTATAGTCATTTTTAGGTGGCTCTACGATTGCTCATAGGCTTACATTGCCTCCTTGCATGATCTACTCTTCATTTCGCAATAAGAGCAACGCTTAACTCGTCTTTTCCTATTCAGGTTCAAATTGAAGGTCTGACTTGCTCGTGATTTCATTCAACAATGTTCTCCTGAGTATATGTCCTATACATCTCCACTTCATTCGGTATATTTGTTGGACAATAGATTCTCACTTGGTTGATTAGCAGAGTCACTTGTTGCTAATCTTTTCTGTATGGAGAAAAGGCAGTTATTGATAAAAGTCTGCATTCAGTAACCGGTTTGGAATGCTTTCGATGATGTTGGCACCAAGTCTGACTGATATTATTGTTGAAAATTCGAATATTTTATCCTTCATACTGAGTTCAGCAGATTTCCACACTAATTTCAAAGTAATGAATATCTGTCTTGCCTTTCCAATCCTGGCTAGCTTTACCTCCTTATTGCCTGTGGTTCTAATGATTCTGCCCAGCCAAGGATGTGAAGGAAATAATTTCCTTCGAATTTCTCCTGTTGATATTGATTGTTGTTGTCGGTGAGGTGTCATCATCACCTCTGTCTTCTCCATGTTCACTTGAAGTTTTGTTTTCATTGGCTGGATGTTCTGTTAACTAGCTGTTTTCGCCTGTATACCCTCATATGTGTGTGAAATTAGACAACATCATGTCCAAAGTCAAGGCCTTCTACAAGTTTCTTGTCAATCTGGCGTTTTCCCGTCTTCTGGTTCCCCATGGTCTGTTTCGCGATGTAGTTTACCACAATCAGATGTATCATCAATGATTGTAGACAGCCCTTTCTTACTTCCATCTTCACTTCAGAAGTTTCGTTGAGCCTTCCATTGTGATATACTAGGTATATGGTATGATCAGATACATGATGAATTAGGTACATATGACTTTATCCTCATGGCACTGAACTCCTTCGTGTTGTGTCAGTTTCTGAATTGCTTTATGGTCAACGTTATAGAAGGCACTTTCAAAGTCGGTGAAGTTGAGGTTAAAAGTTGACTGCCATTCTGTAATCTGTTCGATAACGATATGTGGCGTTGCAGTTTGATCCACAAATGATTCGCTCTTATTAACCAACCACGTTTCACTTATATTTACCATAACGAAGAGCATAAACAGGTTAGAATGAAACTGTCAAAATGTCTGCACAGTGATGACAAATAGTAGTTACTGGTGTCAGAACACAAACATTGTAATTAGTTATCGGAAATGTCTAACTTTATATAATCGTCTGGATTTGATATCAGCATTACTAGAATCAGACTGACTCAAAATTTGGGTTTTTTAGTTGATGTAGTCGAGCTAGTAATGTGGAGACCAGTGGTTTACATCTTGCCTTGACCTAGATCCATAATAGTCTCTCAGTTCAAGGCGATCCCAGGTAGTCTGACCACTAATTAGATTAGATTCATTAATCGTGCCGTAAGCTGACTGTAGTGCCACATTTTTGTTGGGCATCTCATCTGTTCCACAATATAGTGCTACAATTTTCGGATTCACTCCATGATGGGTAACCTGTTTGAACACAGTCATAGTATTCTGACATAGCCTCTTTATTATTACTCTCAAAATTTAGTTGTTCGTGAATGATAACAGATGCATTGGTTCTAAGAAATCCATAAAATTGAGTGATTTTGCGATATTCCCTAATAAAGACCCTTATTGCAACGCTGACACGTTCACGCAGTGACCAAGGTAATAAATTACTTAGATATTTCCATATTAGATGAGTTTATTTTAATAATCCCACAGTGATGATGCAGTATTAATAACTGGATGGCAAAAAATTAAAAATAAATAAAATAGGTTATGGTGGAGATATGTGGATGACACATTCACTGTGTTGAAATCTCGACATATCCCTCAGTTTTTTCAAACAATATAAACTCAACAGTAGAAGGAATCCAATTCATTTCTGAGTTAGAAAGTGAACAGGGTGAGTTGGCCATGTTAGACTGTAGAATAAAACGAAAACGAGATGGTGGCTGAGATACTGGAATTTACACCCTATAAATAGTGCGTCCGTGGCATAGCGTTTAGGACGCTCGCCGATCATGCACATGGTCTGGGGTTCGATCCCTGGCCGATGAACTCGTTTACCTCGTTAATCCAGAAATAATGCTGGTAAAGAGGAAAGGTTGGGCATGAGGCTAGCAACCCCATGCTGTAAAATTAAACACTGCTAAAGAAACTTCAAGCCACTAGCTTGAAGCCCTTTGTATCACTGGGGAACATGAAGAAAAAAAAACTAATAAATACTTAGACTTTAATTCATCACGTCCAGGATCGGTAGGTTTAGTTAAATGTTTTTATTTTTGGACCAAAAGCCTAACCAATACTCCAGAAGATTGAAATAACGAAATCAAACTAGTGAATAACTACCCACCAGAATTTATTCAGAAATATATGAAAAACCACAGAAAAACTAAGATTAGCAATAAAAACTACGAAAATTTTGAAAATAGTATGGAATTCAATGCCTCCACAGCACCTCTGTATAGAGAAGGGATGTCAAAGAAGTCACGTAGATTTCTCAATGACACTGGAATTAGGGTGGCACTTAAACCAGTCAGCCAACTCTCTCAGAGATAAACTTTGTCGGCTTAAGGACCCAATAGATCCCATTAAGGAAAATGATATATTTTACCAAATACTATGTAATGACTGTGAGGTCAATTGGAAAGGTCAAACTAGTGGATTGGGGTTAATTAGATTATGGGAACATGAAAGTTTGGCTAGACCTAGGATGACTAACCCTCTTATGTTAAATAACATGGGAAAAAGCTCTGTTGTTGCATCATATTTACTTGTATGCAGTCACAAAATATGGTGGGCGTGAGTATTGAAAAGTAATGTAGTTAGGTGGAGATAGAGAGAGGTTAATCACTGAAGCTTTGTTTACTGATTCAACGCTGCACACATGCA